GCACTACATAGTTGAAGGTAAATCTAAAGGAAACTGGGCAGAAATTGGACAGAAAATTGTATAGTGTATGGCCAGCCTTACGCTCACAGTTCCCCAAATAGGTGTACAGAGTAGGCTGAGTAAGACGTGCAGACTTCGCAGTACAGCATGGAATATCACCAACTCCGGGTTATAGGCACTAAAGCTGTAACAAGACCATTGACTACTCTCTACACAAGCTACTGACATCCTTTCTGGAAATCTTAGTTATTCAGGCTGTAAAAAGTTCACAGACTTCTCTTCACACAGGACAATGTCACCAGCAGGGGCAGACAGACCATTTGGAAACTCAGGCAGTGGGGGGCCCCATGAGATGCCCCTGGTACCTTTTTCATAGGCTTTTTTGAGTTTGGGCAAGGACACAATGGCCCCATGATCAACTATTGCCCGTGGGCCCCATGAGTTGTCAGTCCGCCCCTGGTCACCAGTATAGGATCTCATAGCTCCTGCTACCGAAGCTGCAGTCAGCTTCCACCACCAGCAAGAACACCAATCTGCTTGTCAGATGGATCTACACTCTTCCTGGTCCAACACTGGTGGCTCCGCAAACAGGCAGCACACACCACGGGCTGTGGGCATGGCCAGGGTGGCGTAATCATGCTATCAAAAGCTTCTTGGGCTCTATACTATGATCTTATAATCTTCTCTTGCAAGAAACATTGGACATTTTCAGGCCAATATTATTTTTAATTATACTCTATGTGGTTAATTTATGAAGGCTATTTTATATATACCCTATATAACATCTGACTGACATTGTTTGTGGCATTATTTCATCTTTTGGGGCCAGAGCACAGTGAACTTCCAAACTATATAGCTTTTAGGTGATTGATAATCATGCTCATGTGCTGTGCTTCCAAAATGGTCAGGGTTGTCTTGGTTCAGGGGAGTTAGTAGACAACGTTGTCTGTTTTTAATAGATGGCAGAGGGGTAAACCTTATTGTTTTTTTTGCTTAAAGTGAGATTTTTATAATATTTACGCTAATAAAGTTATGTATCATTTATTTAGGCTGTAATTATTGTTTGATATACTGTATGCCACATATGTCCCCTGTTCAGCCCATTTTTGCTTGAGCGTCTGCTCTGATTTATTAAATTTTGTTGGTTGATTCTTCTTGCTGCGTTCTTTGCAAAGTGCAATCCTTTGCACTGGAAATGGCAATTTTGTGGACCTGAGATTTCAACTGCAGAGATCACAAAGAGCCATAGGAAGCTGGTTAGTGATTTGTTTATTTGCAAGTACAAGAGGCGTTCAAGTCAAGCTGGGACTTTTAATTTTACAGGTATAAAAAGGGATGCTAGCGTGGCGGTTCTACATGCAGTAGTAAGTGGCAAGTGTCTCCTATTACTGATATTAGGCACACATGCTGTGGGCCAGTCCAGGGACCGTTAATCAAGATGGCAGACAACAGTGTTAGTACGTGTATGGAACAGCATGTAATGATAAAGTTTCTTGTGAAAAAAGATGTAAAACCCACGGATATATACAGAAGACTTCAAGCACAATACGGAGATGAGACGCTCAGCTGCAGACATTCGAATGGTGTAAACGTTTCAAAAATGGCCGTATGTTCGTCAGTGATGATCCAGGCCGTGGTGGTTCCCAGCCCACAGCAGTCATTCTTGTGAACATTCAGTGCGTGAAATGCCTGATCCTGGATAATCGATGCATAACCTGTCTTGAAATTGCACAAGTGACAAATCCTTCTGTGGTAATGATGAAAACAATTATGACAAAGTGAAGCAGGCTGTCCTAGGATGGTACAGGCGTACTGACAAATCTTTCTATGCCAAAGTTTTCAAGGCATTAGTCCTCATGCACACTTGATGTTTTTACAGCTGCAGTTTTTGGCTTTTGACTTTTTTTCTACAGCCAGTTAACTAACCAGCATGTTATCCTATGTGTCCATGTACACATAGACTGTAATCAACATTTTTTGGCTGGGATGTTTTTTGGCTGGAAAAACAAAACAGGACTAGTGGGTTTCTAAGTTTTTTAGCTTTAAAAACGCTCTAACGCTGAAAAACGTCGTAAAACGCCACAAACCGGCGTTTGTAGACTCTTTTTACCAAAAAACTTGCTAAAAAACACAAATGAGGGAAAATGCCGGTAAAAGCTAATGCAAAAACGCTAATGCAAAAACACAAAAAAAAGCTGAAAAACTCACATTCACGTGACTTTACACAGCTAACATTACCAGCATTATCAAAACGCCCAGTGTGCATGGAGCCTTAGTTAAATGCTGCGGTTAGAGTCTAAATGTAGCATTGAGTATGTTGAAAAATAAATGCAATTTTCAATCCTTGAAATTTGTTCTTTTATTATATAAACTCAAAAGTCCCGGCTTGATTTGAACGCCTCTTGCATAAAGAATGTGGGGGTATTAGACTGTATGAGCTCTTTCAATCGTGTAAACTGATAAGTGCCTAAAGCCATATACTTAGTTTTAGAGTGAGGAGTAGTACACAGGGAAGGTGTTTGCATACTCTCAAGTTGACGTTTTGAAAGGGCACCCTTCTTTTGAGCCCAGTGTTACAAAACCCTGGACCCTGCATTCACTATATCTGGTCTCCCACAGTACACAGAACATGTAAATGCAATTATTTTAGTAATTATAAACTGCTAAATACCTTTTCTCATCTGCAGTTAGAGCAGTTTTGTGACTTCAGCAGAGCACTGGTTAAAGTTTGTAGGAAGAGTTTTCTTTCTGCTCTAGGAAGATGTGAAACCTCTGCCCCTCTGTCTGGACAGTGCTGATTGGCCCTGTGCTGATCACATGCACCCTCCCAAGAAAAATAAAAACCTCTCTAGCAATACACACTAAAGTGAGCATGTGCATGTGACTACGAGTTCAGTCTGTTTTATCAAGTGGACATTTGAACAAGAGGAGGGGCAGAGAAAACAGGATCAAACAGCCTTTTTACACAATGCAAAGGATTAACCCCCATAGGTTCCACAGTGAGTATAACAAGCATGCTTTACTGCATATACAGACTGGTTTTACTGTTGTGGGTTTAGTAACACTTTAGGTCATCTACCTAATGCTAGACCCATACATTCAATAGATCAATATGTCTGTTTATTGGGCTTATATCTTTCTGACAAATGTGTGTGTTTGGGTGTCTCATTTTTGCTTTACTAAAACAGAAGAAATTTGTGATAGTCTAACTTCACTTAAATGACAATTTCTAGCTACACGGTTGCACAGAAACTGCTCCTTTCCAGCCATTAAATGGGTTTTAGTATTACCATGCAGCTTTGTATCTCAGAGGCTGAATTTTATTTCCCATCGTCTGCCAATTGATATTAGCCAGATTGTCAGAATAAAGTGGTACAGGTTGGCAGCTAGAAGTACAGCACAATACAAATGCAGACTATTCATGAAGTGCTCATTATTTCTAGGTTTTGGAACAGTGATAGCAGTGTTATTTACCTCTACAATTACAACACTTTGGTATCTTTTCAAATCAAATGTAATTAAATAATATTAATTGGGTAGAGAGGAGGAAAGTTCTGCATTAGCTCATCAAAATATTACAATCTAAATTGTGTCCAAATATAATTATGACAGTCTCTATTCTCATGTATTTACCTTTTGTGAGTGAAAAAAATAGTGAAGGATGCGGGCTCTTTTGAAAGCAGATACAACAGAGAGAGCACTTTTGATTAAGCATATTACAAGTACTTGGCCAGTATCCGAAAAAAGAATGATCTGCGTTGAAAGGAAATAGTGCCGTTTGATGACTTGTAATAATGGTTGCTTGATTCACTCTATTAGAGAACAGGGAAGGGTGTAGAATCTCAAGCACAGGAATAAATTATCACGCCAGCCAGGTCTCTTGTATGGTAGCATTACAGTTTCTTTTAATCAGTTACAAAGGATATCCGTAATGTTTTCATTTCTTTCATTGCTATCTCTTACATTGCTCAGTTGAGCTACAAGAACCATGATGGTTATTGCCAGAAATATGTGCTTATTTCTGTCTTGAATTACCATTCAGCTATCTGGCACATATCATAGGGCATTGTCGTGACATTCTGCAGATTCAAATGTGGGTAATCATTACAAGCTCGCTCATCAGATTGATACTATAAAGATGACTGCCACATATATACCTTCTAAAATCACAAAATAACAATTTGTAACATATTTTATAAGCAGATGGCATATGCAGTTGTAAGAATTACCTAGATTTCTACATGAGTGGCTCTTAAAATGACATAGTATTTTTGGTTAAATCATGGTAATACATATACACAATTTGTTAAAAGTGTCACATCACCTAGTTATGAGTGGAGCTTTACAGGATACTCACACACAGGGGCAGACTGACCATTCCGGCACTCAGGCACTGCCCGAGGGCCCGGGATCAGTAGGGGGCACCATGAGATGCCCCTGGTACCTTTTATAGACTTTTTTGGGTGTGGTTTGAGTGTGAGCGAGGACACAGGGGCCCCATGATCCCCTTTTGCCCAGAGACCCCATGAGTTGCCAGTCTGCCCCTGCTCACACAGCAAGATCTCCCTGAGCTAGTTCCTAATTTTGTACCTGCCTGCCTGGAAGTTTTCGCTATTCTTACCCATTATTATCTGCTCCAGCTCGTCCTGTTGTTGTCTCATATAATATCATATAAAATCAATAAACAATCAACCAGAGATAGTGGTAGCCTCACCTAATGGTCTCAGCTAAGGTATGAACTTAAGAACTGAATTGGAGGTAAATCACTAAAAGAATCCACAAGAGATACACAGTTATACTTTAGTGGAACCTAAAGCAGAACTTAATTCTTTTGAATCTTTATGCTACTAATATTAGTAAATAGATATGAAGGTATATTATATTTGCTTGTTTAGCCTTCAGTAACTTCCTGCATGCTTGAGCTAAGGGTAGATGAATTCCAGGAAGTAAATTAATCTGCCCTTACTTAATGTGTTACTAAATCCAAGACCTTGCATTCACTATATCTGGTCTCCCACAGTACACACAACATAGAAATGCAATTATTATAGTAAATATAAACTGCTAAATACCTTTTCTCATCAGCAGTTAGAGCAGTCTTGTGACTTCTATCAGTGTTCAGCAGAGCACTGGTTACAGCTTGTAGGAGTTTTCATTCTACTGTAGAAAGATGCAGGACCCCTGACCTCTGTCTGGACAGTGCTGATTGGCCCTGTGCTGATCACATGCACTCTTCCAAGAAAAAAAAAATATCTCTAGCAATACACACCAAACTGAGCATGTGCAGAATGACTCCACATGATATGTCTCATCAGGAGATAAGAGGGGGACTTCTATCAGTGTCCAGCAGAGCACTGGTTACAGCTTGTAGGAGGAGTTTTCATTCTGCTATAGAAGGATGCAGGACCCCTGACCTCTGTTTGGACAGTGCTTTGTGGCCCTGCGCTGATCACATGCACTCTCCCAAGAAAAAAAAAAAACCTCTCTAGCAATACACACCAAACTGAGCATGTGCAGCTTGCCCCTGAGCCTCTGTTCTATCGGGAAATAGTTAGGAGACACTGGAAGAAGGGGAGGATCAGAGAACGAAGGATCAAACATCCTTTTTTACACAATGTGGAGGATTAACCCCTTAGGTTCCACAGTGAACAAGCATGCTTTACTGCATATTCAGAATTATTTTACTGTTGTGGGTTTAGTAACACTTTGAGATGGCAGCCAGAAATGCTAAAGGGGTGTTTTTCAAAGTGATTTCTCAGCAAAATAAAGCATGGAGATATGAATGGATGGAGGAGTTTGCTTTAAATATTAAAAATAAATTGTAAAACATAAAAGTGAGGCGCTACATATAAATAAAAAAAAAGTATTGCAAATACATGGAGTAAATGAAAAGTGCAATTCACATGCGAAGGAGATATAACGTAAAATAAGCCCCTTTAATGGGACATCAATGTTCTCATAAATGCTTCAAATCTGGTCAAGGAGATGAAGAAAATCCACCATCACCAACACCCAAAAAATTCTGTCTCTTACCAGATGAAATTGACACTCGGTTAAGGTTGGGTCAAAATGCGCAATGCAAAATCCAAACGCATGCCATGGACCTGGACACTTTATGACATCAAAGGATCAAACTGGCCCCCAATGGTAGATGAATAAACACCTGTTGGATAATTCCAAAAACTGGCTGTGATCCAGACACTTGTAGAGCTCAAAACTTTAACTGCAAACATTGAACAGAGAAAATAAACCTGCAGAAAAGATTTATCCTCATAGAGGAAAAACTCATTCAAAAAACATAAAAATCCTCATAGTGTAGTAAATTAAGGAAGATTTATTGCCCCAAAGCATAATATAAAACGGGGAGGAGCTAAAATGTGTGACGTCAGCAAGTGCCGGAACATGGCGGCATTTTATGGATTTGAAACTTATCATCCATCTTGTTGGTGGCATGCTGTTTTATCAATAACTTTGATGTCATAAAGTTTGATCCTTTGATGTCATAATGTATCCAGGTCCATGGCATGCGTTTGGATTTTGATTTGCGTATTTTGACCCAACCTTAACCAGGGGTCATTTTCATCTGGTAAGAGGCAGAAATTTTTGGGTGTTGGTAATGGTGGATTTTCTTCATTTTCTTGACCAGATTTAAAGAATCCATGACAATATTGATGTCCCATTAAAGGGGCTTATTTTACGTTATATCTTCTTCGCATGTGAATTGGACTTTTCATGTACTCTATGTATTTGCACTAATTGTTTTTGGTTATATGTAGCGCCACACTTTTATGTTTTCCTATTTGATATATTGTTGCCTGCAATATTAAGGTAGCTGCTTATGTTCTATTGATTCTTTTATGTTAGGGAGTCACATATATACTATAGAGCAGAATTTTTAAGTTATATTTTTGATTAAAAATAAATTGAATAGTGTTTTTGGTTTGTGCTGCTCAGGCGCACTGTAGTTCTGCTTTAACTGTATCTAAGCACCACAACTTGAAAATGCTATTTCATTTTTCATATTCAAAGCAAATTCACCCATCTATCCATGTCTCCTCGTTTTTTTGTGGAGAAATCTCTTTGAACCTCACTCTAACATTTCTAGCCATGGCCAACTTGAATAAGGGCAGATGATTCATGTTGCATTTACTTCCTGGACTCCACCTGCTCTTGGCTCAGGCATGCAAACAGGAGGGTGCACTTAGCTGAGAGAGTACCTCCTCCAAATGAAAGAAAAAAAAATGCCCATGAAGACTCTACAGATGTATGACATCATTGTGGCCAAAAATGAGGAAGCAACTGAAGTAAAATGCAAAAATTGTTTAAAACAAACATACCTTCCTATCTATTTACTAAGGCTAGCAGCATATTATTATTATACAGTATTTATAAAGCGCCAATAGTTCACTCAGCGCTGTACATTACAAAGGGGGACAGAACATGTGACAGAACAATACCAATACAATGCAAAAACATGAGGGGATTGAGGGCCCTGCTCTTTCGAGCTTACAATCTAGGAGAAAAAAAAAATTAGTGCAAATACATGATCTTTAAAATAATACTAAACAAAGAAGTGTTCATTTCCATTATTCATTCACATAAATTATATGTATCATGCCACTGTATTTTGTTTAAAACATATCCTCTAAGTTCCTTATTCCTGCAGCACTGTTGTGTAGTCACATGACCTTCATCTGTTTTTTGCCATTTGCAGGGAAAGATCCTTGGGAGGCGTTTTTATTGCTCTGCTGATATATGTTTTCTATGGTATCAGTCTGTGTCTGCACAGCCTTCATTGGTGTCATACCAGTGACATGACAAAAAACAAAAAAAAGTTTCAGAAGAGCAATTCAAATTAAATTGTAAATATCAAAAATGTATTTATTGATGGTACAGTAGGATAAACAAAATAGCAAAATGGAAGAATTAATCTCTGTGTCAAAAGACGCAGCTACGAAATTTACTTCAACTTGGGCATGCTGGCTCCATTTCCAAACCTCTGAGGACTACATTCCGGAAATGAAAATCCCCCCATGAATCAATAGGGCATCAGGTGGATGCCCAGATATATACGCTCTCTGAGTCTCTGACTGAATACCGTCCTTTACTCACAATCACAAGCCGAAAAGATAAAAAAATATACTGCACACACTACAGTTCTATATGAGTCCATATTACCCACAGCCATACCTTTCCTACACGCATCCATGCCTGATTAAAGGACGATGAGATGGAACGATACACACAGGCCGCTACTAATACAAACAGGGTATCCCAACCCTCCCATTATGGGGGTTGTTTTGCTTTTTGTTCTCCCGATTGTTATATCCACTACCCCTCATTCTCTGTATTCTTCAAATATTATATATTCAATAAAACTTTATTTTGGAAAGAAAAAAAAATCTTTATTGAACATCAAATGTGTATTTTGTGTGCTTTGATATGGTGTAGGCAGAGTCAAAGATGACTGATACTACTAGCTTTCATTTTGATCAGACAGCATCTGCATCAAAGGCTCTTTTTTACTTTACAGGTATTAACAATTACATTTGATATATTTAATACTGATTTATATTAAAACTAAGCCTTTTTATGAGTTTCTTAGTGAATGTGATCAATCAGCATACTATAGCCCACCCTCATAGTGTTTAGCAATAGGAGGACATAGAGGAGGGGGGGGGGCAGTGTCATTTACCACTGTGCATAAGCCCACACTCTATAGTCATGTGGCCTAGATAAGAAAAAAGGATGAAATGAAGAGCTTAGAAGGGAACTGAAATATGAACATGCTCAGTTTGGAGGACACCAGCTGGTCTACACAATCACAGGCTGCAGTGGGGGCACAGAGAAAATGGGAGGGACAGCTGAAGGCAGGATCAGCCAGGTATATTTCACTCTATGCAAAACAAATGCTTTAGTGGCTTTTTGAGTATACACACTCTGGTATATAGCATGTAATGAGAGTTTTTTTATTTTTATTGAGAGTTTAGGTTTAACCACTTGCCCTCCAGAGGATTTACCCGGGGGGGGGGGGGGTAAATCCTCTGGAGGGCAAGTGGGATAACCTAGACCCTTCTTACCAGGCCATTTTTTTGCAATATGTTGCTGCATTATTTTATCTGACAATTGTGCAGTCATGGAATGCTGTACATAAATTAAATTTCTATCCATATCCATTTATCATACAAATCATATACTGTACATTTTTTATGGGTTCAAAGAGTCAACCTTCATCAGTAATTTTGAACAAAGTGCAAACTCACCCATCCACACGTCTCCATGCTTTATATCACTGAAAAATCACCCCCCTAGCATTTCTTGCCCTGACCATTTTGAGTAAGGGCAGATGATCAATGTATCATTTATTTCCTGGAATCATTCTGCCTTAGCTCAGGCATGCAGGCAGGAGGGTGTGCTTAGCTGAAAAAAATCCCTCCTGAAGACTTCTGGGATGTATGACATATTTTGCCTAGGCCAGAAACCAAAAAAAGTTTTAAGCAAGTAAATATGATATACAGTACTTTACTATCTACTTACCATTGCTAACAGCTAGGGGTTAAAAATAGCCAATGTTGATTGAGAGAGGACATTCTGCTTTTGATATTCAAAGTCCAAGCTGCAAAAAGCATGTTAACTGAAAAGAATCCCCATTAACAGCAGTGACCATCTGCAACAAAAGTAGATGCAAATGAAGTTGTCACTCAGCAAGGAAAGTCTATGCAACTGTTTTTTGGATTTTTGCACACTTGTGACCCCTGCACCTGTAATTCTGGCAGGCAATTGAAAAAGTCTGCCACAGAATTACCTGTTGATTTGGGACTGAGTTTCATCAAGATGAGACAGATTTTTACTCAATAGAATCTGAAAGCTCTCTTCCAACTGTTTCAATTTACCCCATATTGGTATGCTAAAGTGCTTTGACAAGTAAATGTTGGTAGTAGAGTAGTAGTAGAGAAAGGACTGACCAGAGAGGGATAATGTTCCTTCAGTTAGCCACCTTGAACATGTATTGCAACAGTTTTTGCACCAGTTTGTTATAGGTATCTAAACAGAGAGAAAAGAGAATGCTAAGATTTTCTTTGAAAAAACATGCACATTTAAGTGGCCAGGGGTAGGTTTTATTTTGTTTTAATGCTACTGTAATTATGAAGCAAGCTGCAGTATTATCAGATACCTACTGGGCACTTTCACCCCTTCCTGCCCAGTCCAATTTTCAGCTTTCAGCGCTGTCGCATTTTAAATGACAATTGTACGGTCATGCAACACTGTACGCATATGAAATTTTTCTCATTTTTTTGAGACAGAAATTTCTTTTGGTGGTATTTAATCACCACTGGGTTTTTTTTATAAACAAACCGAAAACAACTGAAAATTCTGAAAAAAAAAATTTTTTCTCAGTTTCTTTTATAAAATATTGTAAATGAGTAATTTTTCTCCTTCACTGATGTGAGCTAATGAGGCTGCTGTGATGGGCACTGATAAGCTGCACTGATGGGCACTGATAAGGAAGC